CTCTTCGACCGCTGATAAACTCATTTCTGCAGTTCTGCATCAGCTGCAGGATCCACTTGTGCTGAGCATAGATACACTGCCAGGCTGGATCCCCTGGAGCATGCAGGTCCGAAAGGTACCTACAATGGCCAAACACAGACATGACAAATCAGTATTTAAAAGTTCAAGTGAATGCTCAAATTTCTGCTGTTATTTTTATGTTAATCTTAAAATAAGTGTTTTCTAATAGAAAGAGAGAAAACGCATCCAAAATCTCCAAAAAAACTCCCCATTTCTACCAGCATATACAAAAGATAAAAGCAAGGAAATGAAAGTTAATGACACAAATATGGTAAAATAAAGTCAAGTTGATTCCAAATGTTTAAAAAGCTGATGACATTTTCAGGCCTATAATCCAATCCTTGAAAGTTGGGATAGTTCTTTATGATGTCCCTGTTGGTGTTGTACCAAAAATAAAAACATATATATCTGAGTTAAATCAGAATGTTTCAAGCCAAAAGAACAACAATAGAGAAGAAATGTAAAGTTTAGCAATCCTAAATGGTAAATGAAAAACTGATAGAAAACTGAGATACAGTAATCAAACATCCATGTAATCTGTAGAAGCAAATAGAGTAAGAACTTTACATCTATCAGAATCTAAGGTATTTGACAAGTTAAGGCACAGAAACAATGAAATTCATTTCAGCTTTACTTTGTTTTAAATCTAAAGACATATTAAATAAAAAAATTTACTTTTGGATAAAAATAAAGTTTATTTTAAAGAGAAATTATCAAAGATTTAGAGAATCAGTCTATGCTTGAAAATGATAACTCTTTCATAAACAAAACATCAGGAACTAAAAACCTTAAATAATGATAATAATAAAAAAATAATTCAAGCAAAAACATCTTGCAAGAAAAAAACTACCTTTATTATATTGACATTTACTGTAGGCTCTGGTGAAAATCTACATTTTACTAATGTATAACTAATGTATAAATTAAAAATGATGTGAGTAAAAACGTGTTAAATCCTTTAATAAATGATAAAGATTTATCAGAAGAAAATAATAAATACAATAAATGTATCAAACTACCAAAACTAAATATACATAACTTTTATATTATCCATCCATTTTCCATCACGCTTATCCCAAGTGGGATCGTGAGTGGTCCTGGTGCGCTAGCGCCTGTCCAGGCAGGGTACACCCTGGACAGATCACCCATCCATCGTATGGCTAATTTTTATATTGCATAGACCAATTTTTTTTTTTTTTTTTTATACTTAAAGATGTTAGAGGACATACTTTCTGTTTTCAGATGCTTCCAAATAAACACAATGAATACCTCAAGGTTGAGAGTAGCCAGTAATTTCACTTTTCAGTGGTCCAGCCAACAAAATTATAACACAGTTATATTTGCTTTATTTAAAAAAAAAGAAACGTAGGCTGGCATGGTAGAGACCATCAGAGCTATATATATATATATATATATATATATATATATATATATATATATATATATATATATATATATATATATATATATATATATATATATATATATATATATGTGTGTGTGTGTGTGTGTGTGTGTGTGTGTGTGTGTGTGTGTGTGTTTGTGTGTGTATTCAGCCAGAAATCAAGCATTAAGAGCATTCTTTGATGATTTGAACTCCAGTCCATTCTGACTATCCTAATTCATCTCCAAAGAGTTTTTATTTCCCGGACACCCCTTCAGCGTCCTCTGGGATGTCAGTTGAGATTTTGGCTTGGTTTCTACTGCCGTCATCCAGTAAACCAGCTGCTCTTTTGTTTCTCACTAAGTGGCATCTTTACAAAAGTTTGAGCGAGACCTACACGAAGAAATGCAACCAGCTCCCACCCTCCACACGAATGGTAAACAGGAGCTGAGTGGGCGTTAGGAGCTGTGCCTAATGCACCGGGATGAAAGATGTTACCATGTGGTCGGGAGCTGGTCTCTGTGATCCTGACAGGTTGGTACTAACAATAATAAATCGGCACAGACCGCAAGTATGAAGGGACAGAGAGATGGAGGGGGAAAAAGGAGGAAAAGAAAGGCGGAGGAGGGAAGAAAAATAGAAGCCAAAACAAGTGGGCCATGTAAAAGAAAGATGAGAAGATTCATGAACAGAGGAAAGTGAGAGGCAAAAAAAAGAAAAAGAAAAGGAACAAGAAAAATGGCCATGGAAGGAGGTTGAAGTTTTTGTAAACAAAGATAAACACACATAAAAGTAACCAAAATGAGAGCAAGAACAAAATATAAAAGATTTATCATGACTTTGTATTGGATATTTTGGGGTTGAACGCAAAATGATGACTGTTCAAAGCACAAGGGCAAAGTCTTTGTGTAAAAGAAATCAAAGGTTGGACAGACAAAGAGAAAGACAGATGATGCCGAACAACCACGGAGGATTACAGAACCATGGAGAGACCTGATGTATCTCTTCTGGTCATGAAGTGTCGACGGTGTCTGCAGCAGTTTTTCCAACAGGAGGTTTCTTAAAGCTTCGATTCTTGTCTCAACCTCTGCATAAACTGGAGATCAAAACAAAAACACCTTTTTAACATCATTGATTTTATTAGCATAATGTATTGGTTCAGGTAAAAAAAAAAAAAATCCCAAATGTGTAGAGAAAATATACCTTTTTTGAAAACTGCAACTTCAGTATTCCCAAAAAGAGATTTGGCTTTCTCATAGTCATTGATCACCACATCATAATCCCCCTAGAAAGTCAAACAAACAGTTAATAATGCAGCCTTTTTTTAATAACCCATCAATCATGACACCAACTGTGTATTAAAGCCTCTCTAACTCCCCCCTCTGGCTGAAAGTCACCCAATCTGGACCTCAAAACAAATACACAAGGCAAACTGAGGACAGATGGAGCCGCAGCAAAGCCAAACTGCATGGAAAACAGTTTCAATCTGCATCTTATTAGCTTGTGTTTTTTCTAAATATGGACTAAAATAAAATCAGAGGTAAAACTTTAAAATCATGGAAGAGAAATGTATATAGGCGACTTCTTTTTCTTAATGATGGATTTCAGATGAACAAACCGGATTTTTATCTGCTGTTTAAAATCATTGCAGACAGACAAACAACCTGCAGGTACATTTAACGATTTAATGAAGTATGCTTGGTTACTTGTTAATTGTATAAATATTTCAAAATTACCTTTTTTAGGTTGACTTTATTTTTTACTTTTTGTTTAAAAAACAAATGCTGTCAGACTCCATTTAAAGTTGTCGTGACCCTAGAAATTTTAACTCCATACTGATGCTTACAAAAATAATGCACATTTCTAAATTTAAATTTAGATAAATCTTTTAAATAATACAATGCTTTCAGAAGGTGAAGGTTTCTTTCTAGTTATGGTGACATTTTAACTTTATTTTTAAGAGTAAAACCAGTAAGTGTGGGGAAATAAATAAACCAGCCTTTGGTTTTTTAAAAATATATCAAATATATCATTTTTTTCATTTTTTTGATAACTATTGATTTGATGTGAACATTTTACTCCTGTCAGAAAAAAAGTTACAAAAATAAAACATAAATCTGATGCACACAGAACTTAAAAAACAGGATCTGGTCCATATCTTCAGCTTCAGTCTGACAGATTTTGTTTATGTCTGACTTTTTTTTACATAATAATATTTTATAATGCATTCCAGCAGCAGGCAGGTGGCTTCTGGTTCCTACTTTGTTTTTCTCTAATCACAAAGCTCTGCATGGCTCCATCATAACCTGCGTTGAGGGGAGGGGTTAACTGATTCGTAACATCTCTCTGAGCTGCAAAACTATATAACATTTTCCTGGATTAATCTGTTCCATAACTGAACTGAGTGTTGCCTGATTCTATCAGACATTAGTGGTTCCTAACATCAGACATGAGGAGCACAACCCAGTGAATATTAAAGCACTGCAGGACACACAAGGCCTCACATAAAGGATGGGCTCCTTTTAGCTCCTCACTAGAGTCCGATAATCTGCAACCTTTCTGTTTAAGCACCAAATGTTCCAACCCCTTCTGAAAGTTGTCCTGATCTACCAGAAGCCCAGTGTTTTTTAAATGTTCTTTTTCATATAGCGTATGCAGACATCGCTGTTCTAATTGTGGCTTTTAAAAGAAAAAATACAAACAGCCATCTTCATCTGAATCAAATGTCTAAAAGGAAAAGGGATCCAACATAAAACATTCGCAACAAAGACCATTACAAAGAAATGCGAAGATGAAGAGAAGCATCATGGACAGGAGCATTTTCTAAATAAGGGTTTATCTTTTTAACAACTACATTTTGTTATAAAGAGAAATAAAAAGTCTGCATTAAAGGTTTCTTGAGAACTTGCAACTTCAACAGGTTGGTGTTTCAGAAAAAAACAGGTGGCTTTAATTTTGCATTCAGCCCTTTCTGTTTACATGCCGGGATTCCTCATGTTCCTGTGAAGTACCTTCTGAATGTTACGTTCTATGTTGAGCGGCAGGTTGAAGAGAAACTTGAACCGTTGCAGCACGTTGAGCGCATTGCGTGTGGAGTCAGCCTTGTCCTTCCGACCCAGGACCTCCTGGAAGAGAGTATCTGCTGTATCGCTCGCTCCTGTGAAAAAAAAAAAACGGAGTGAGAGAAAGTTATGAGAGAGCGAAGGAGGTGGGAGAAAATGAGAAACTGGGATGCTGGATAAATAAATGTTAAACACCACATTTCCCTCATAGTCCCGGTTTCTGGTTTTCCTCTGGCTCGGGATGTTATTAGACACTAAAAAGGAGCAATAGGAGCAGGAACTAAAATGCTCAAAAGAAAGTGACAACTATCTCTTAGCCTACTTGGTGGGAGTTAGAAAGAACGATGGAGCTTCGTGGGTGGGCTCTGCTCGGCCGTCAGATAGAAAAAAACAAAGATCTTCTAATCAAAACAAAACCCCCCACCCACAACAAATTTGCCGCAGGAAAAGCAGCATGAGGGTGAGCAACTAGTAAATTGAACATCTCTCACTCACCAACCTCACTTATTAAGGAGCAGACGTTTAACAAGGCTGTTTTGTGATTGGCTGACTGGTGCTATGTTTTTGATGCATGGGGGGTGAACAGAGCTGTAGGCCTATTGCGCCGTGAGCCTTTACGTCCGGGTTGGTAGGGATGAAAGATACGTCCGGCTAAGAGGTTTATTTACTCTTCACTAAGGGAAAAGAGCCAACTTATTGACCTCACAGTAGAGTGGCCCCATTAACATGTATGACCTACAAGGCTGGGACACAAGGTCTGATGAGAGGACACACCGATCTCCAGATTTCACTTTTTCTGACTCCTATTTTATTAACGCACAGCCTGATTTTTTATGCTGAATTAAAAATTCTTCTTACGATTTAGGATGTTTTCCAGTCGACGGGTCATGGATCCCTCCACCTTCTCTGTGCCATCCGATTCCAGCCTCTGGTGGATCGCTAGAAGAGAATGGGTTACAATGATGACAAAGGATAGGAAATTAAAAAGTGTAATCAAAGCAAGGGAATCTAAAAAGAAATGATTGAGCTCTTTAAACTGCAGTGGGACAAATATCCAAAGATTTGAACATTTATAGCTTCAGGAACTGAAAGTAAAACAACAAACAGGCTCTACCTCAGTGGTAGATGTGAGATAACCTCAGTGGTTCTCGGATCATACATGCTGCTGTTGAACCCAGCAGTGGCAGTTCCCACAGTGCCCTGGCCTGGATGGAGCCGCCCAAATACAGCTATTAACAGGACAGTTTGGTGGTTTTGGGACATTTGAAGCCCTTTAACCAGGAGGGGGGGTTAATATGAATTTAAAATGCCTCATTTGTTTTTAAAATAACATATTTTTATGCCAAAAATGACAGAAGCAGAGAGGAGAGTGAGAGGGGGGCAGGAACTCTTTGATGGCTTGTAGCCATCACTGATCATACAGAGCTTCATGGCGGAGAGGGAATTTCGAAAAAGTGGAAATGAGGGGGGAAAAAAAGAGGGCGAGAGGGTGGTGGGGCTACCCCAGTGAATAAATAAATGGTGTTCAGTAGTGGGCAGCTGGGTGCTGAGAGCTGAGGGTGGGTTTATTGACAGAGTGGAGAAGAAGTGGAGAGGCTTTAAAAGACAATTTCTTGCATAGCAGCACCAACATGCACAAGAACTCAATCTGTGGAAATAATAACCACCATGAAACATTTATTCTTAAGCCTTAAAAATGTCTTTTAGATTAGTTTTATAAACAAGGACAAAGGGGGAGTTTTCCGTAAACAAATATGGCTCTAATCAGACAGATGGAAGCATCGGGGCAGACTGAAATATTACTGAGACAAACTGTTCAAATACACCGGCGAATAATCAGCGAAGACGTCACTAGAAACCAGCACTAAATGTGACCAAACGCAGGTTAAGACAGAAATAAGCAGAGAGACGGTGTGTGTGTGTGTGTATGTGGAATGATGGGGCCAAAAACAAAGGATGACACACACACTGCAGGTCTGCTTCATGTCTCCAGACTGCCCTTTGCCCCACTGCCAGCTGCCTGTCCTCTCATACTGAGAGGCCTAATGACGTTACAGCTAAGCTAAACATTAGGTCTGAATCCGGAGAAAACATGAAGGCAGGTCCTGGGGAAGAGTCGCAGCTCCCGCTTCACTTCCTGGAACCGTTCATAGAGGGGAAAAAAAAGCACGAAAATAAAAATACAGTGTCCCTGGTTTCTAAAGCTGGAGATGTTTTGACTCCTGAAGAGGCTGGAGACGCAGGGAAAAGGCCCTGGGAATCTTTCATTTTTGGAGCAGGGTAGCTGTTCCGTTTCCTGCATCACTGGGAGACTTCCTTTTCACACAACAATGAAAAACCTCAAATTTCATCATTTTTTGCAGAAATAACTCGCTCCTCCCTCGCAGGCTGTCACTCATTCAATCAGCCACAGTCAGTGTGTCTTAGAAGAATTGGCTTTGCTTGTCAGTCTGACTCCAAGATGAAAAGGTTTTTCAGCAGCTAGAAGATGTTCACATGAGATAATTCCCCTAATGTAAAAAAAAAAAATCGATCATGTCCAACATGCAAAACTAAATTTAGAAAATGAAAGACGGGACTGCTTAAAAATGATGTGCCTGGGAAAATGAGACATGCAACATTTGGTTGTAAATTTTTTTCTGTTTATCCGAGTTTTTTTTTTTTCTTCCCCCAAATAAAGACTTTCCTAAATAATAAACTAAAATAGTTGATTTTAGATGTTTTGAATAGAAAAAAAAAAAAAAACTAGATTTTTTAGTATGTGACTAAGATGATTAAAACAAAACAGGCCAGTTTCTAAATGCTGGTCAGAAGGTTAATGGATCCCATTTTTTACCATTTCCACAAAATATGATTCTGTTTTAAAGGACAGTATTTCAGGCTTTTTTTAAACTTTGTATTTTAATCTAGAGATGATCAAATATGGTCTTAAATTCCTTAGCTGATAGCCACATATTCTATTACTTTATCTCCTTAAACCGTTGCCAGGGGATGGTAAGATTTTATAATGTTTAAAATCTTTTACATCTTATTACCATTTTTTTTACTAAAAACTTGTGGTGGGCATTGATAGTGTATCAATTAATTGTGAATTTGTTTTAGCCCAACATGAATTATCAATCACTGTGATGACAATAATTAATAATGAACGTTTGCAAACCCTCAAAACCTTTGTTTGCATTCTTGCTTTCCCCTATTGTCTCAATAAGAGCGTAAATAAACATAAGAAATAAAGAAATAAGATTTTGTTGAGCAACACTTTGAGGCAATCACAGAAATCAAGTGTTTTCTGTAATGTTCAGGAAATGTTCAGTCAGACTTCTGCACCTGTTGATAGGTATGTTCTTGAGCAAGGTACTTAAATTGGTCTGGGACTGTTTGTTTTTGGAATTATTCTTAAAAAAAAAAAATCCAAAATCAATGTTTTATTTTTACAAAATTATCAGTTTTTTTTTTTTATTTATTTATTTTTAATTTTTTCCAAGTTTTATGTTATTTGAACTACTGGTGTCCATCATCGTGTTCTTTGTTGGCAGGGAATGTAAAATTTCAAACACAGATGTGAAATTGTTGATATTGTCTGTATGTGCTGCCATTTTACAAGATTGTCTGAAATAAATTAATTTGTTTGTTTGTTCTTTTTGCCTTTCAGTTTGTTTCTGGTACAACAGTATTTTCCCAAAATAGATATTTGAAGCTTTCCGTGTTTTATACATACAAATAAATCATTTTTTGACAGAAAATACTATGTTTTCTGTGGCCTGATGATGTGCTGCTGAAAGAAATATAAACTACATCCATACAAAAAAAGTTATTTGCATCCAGATCCCAAACGTAATGTAAATGTAAAAGTCTTTATTACAAAACACCTGATTTGACTAATAATATTTTGGAATTCTTATAGTGAGCTAAATTTCAAATAACTAGAATCCATTAAGTGAGCACAAGAAAAGTGTTCAGAAGAAGTAAACCTCAGAGTGCAGTTTGCTCTAACCCGTTTTCCATCCATCTCATTTCTTTGCCCTTGTTTGGCATTCATTCCTTCTTTCCACCTTGCACGCTGCATTATAAATAGCCCCAGCCCTTCAATTAAAGTCATCAATAAAACTCTCACATGCAAGCGTGTGAGCTGAATGTAAACAAGACGGTAGACGAGAATGTCATGATGGTGACTGACAGTGTCTGGAGGCTCAGCAGCAACTTTCAACACAGCAAATTTTGAGGTGCAAATTTCCTTAAAATCCCAACAGCTGCATCTCAGGTGAGCTTCATCTGGACTGACTCAGAACAACCGACAAGTGCCAAACTCTTCCGAGACACAAAGAAGGGATTCACAGTAGTTCAGACAGCCGGGTTAAGCAGAACTTCTGCAGGGCTGGCTTTAACTGGCAAGATCAGAGGGTGCGTGCCGGCTGGTATGTTGGTTTGGCAAACCGTACGCAGTGTAAAGAATATATCCTCTAACCAGCAACCCGCTCTGAACCACTGCATCATTTTTCAAGACTTAGAGCCAAATTCTGGCTTGAGAAAGATGCTTCAGGGCAGTAATGAGTCAAAGCTAGAAGAAATGGGCTCTAGAAGTTTGAAAATTAGCTTTCAAGTCATGCGGCTGGTCCAAATATAAGAATGTTTATTTTTATGGGGTGAAAAGAAGAAAAAAAAACTTGTTTAAAATCAATCGTGAAAGTAACATAACATTGGAGAATAGGGGGTACTAACTCCTGTTTCAGATTTAAGATAATGTTTCTTTACTCGGTCCTGCTGCTCTGACTCCATGAATAATAATTAAAAAAAATAATTTAAAAAGTTACAGCAAATTTGCTGAGGATGCAGAAAAGTTCAGAAAAAATACATGCAAAATCTATATCACATCAGAATATAATGCTTCAAGATATAATTTAGCACTACAAACATGCAACTTTTAATTGTTTGTATCAGAGGAAACAAAAAGTTATTGTTTTTCTTGTGAATGCAAAGTATACTTCATTATTGAGAATGCACAAAAGTCCTCTACAGATGAGAGGGAAGTCAAATATAACTCTGAGGTTTTCAAAAAAATTCACAAATTTAATTGCAATTTATATTATAGTACTAGTGTCTGGAAACAGTCATTAGATGTAAGTTGAAAGGTCTGTATTTAAAACAAATGAAGTTTTAACTTCTATTTTGGTGGTTTTGTTATTTTTGTTTTATTTGACCACTGGAAAAAAATATCCCTTAACCCTAAAATTTCTTGAGAACGTTCCAAACAATGGTTTCATTCAACTACTTTCAGAGTAACTCATCTTAAGGTGAGTCAATAATTAAGAGACATGCATTTTTTAAATGAGAACAACCAGAAACCTTTGCCAGCTGTGTTTCTATTGATATTACCTAATAAAACGTTTTCTTGCATGCATGAGGCTTTTGAAAAAAAAATTATTTTTATTTTTTTTTAAGGCTGCAATGGAAAACACTTTTCTGGAATGAGATGAGTCAGATAATTAATAATTAGATGTTAATGTAAAAAAAAAAAAAAAAAAAAAAAGATGAAGAAGCTGACAGGCAGTAGTAGGAGGATAATCACTTTTTCCAAATGTAGTTTTAATTACATTTCTTATTTTATGAAAACTGCAAAACTATGAAAATATTCAACATTGACAGAATATTGGCAAAGTTTTGGCACATTTGCAATGGAAACACAGCTATGGTTGTGGAAAAAAAGGCACATTGGAGCTTAGAGAGGACTGAAGATGGCCTTTTAATGGGAGCAGTTTACCAATCTAATCAATGCTGATAGTTAAAGCACTTGCTGGACTTTTTACTGGTCAGTTAGCTCATTTAAAGTTAGACCACCGATTTAAAAAAAATGTAATAAAAAAAAAAACATCTCAATCATAGGTTTTACAGATATCAGTTAAGTTAAAGGTTAAAGTTAATGACATAAAGTTAACGAGTTAAAGACTATTCATTAAAAAAATTAACAAGACTAACTTGTTTGGGATAGTTAAAGGAAAAAATTTAGATACCAATGCATCTAATGTTGGCCCTACTTTATAAAACCCCCAGCAGAGAAAAGAAATGCTGAGAAAATGCTGACATCCTGATGATTTGAGCTTGTTGCATCTGTGCACGTTGCACTCTTGGAGTGTCTGTAAGCCAAAGTATTCATAAGTCAGACATAAAGCCATCTGGATGACAGAAGAGGTTGGCCCACGCCGGGTCACAGTCATGGAAGAGTGTAGCAAAGAAAAAGTGTGCAGAATTATACCCATAATGATACAAGTCATATACAAAATAACCACTGAGTGTTAAAGGTGACTCTCCAAGCTTTTGAACATACTTTTTCAAACACATCTTTCACACTTCAACCATAAATGAATAGACAAAAAAATGCCTGAATCTATATATTCTATCAACCATGGGTTTAATTCCATTTGGGCCAGAGGTCAGTTTAGTACATACACGGTGCACTGCTTCCTACAACCCCTCCAGACCATACACTTCCCATTGGGTCAGTGGGCACACAGTAGGCACGCTCAGTCTGAACGTGAGAATGACTCTGCATTGTTCCCATTGGTCATATTGGCTCCATTATCAGCTCTATCAGTCCTAATACTCTGGTTCGCATTGTGTTGGGCTGCTCCGTTTATTTAGATTCAGCCACTAACAATGAAAACATTGCCTCTCCTCCGACTGGAGCACAAACACACGGAAAGCAATAATAATAAAGATGGAGGCAGAAAAGTGTACATATAAATAGTAAAGGGAAGTAACTGAGTGGCTGCTGCGGGAGCAGAGCGTAAACAGACAAAGGCATGAATGATGAAATGAACAATTGATTCGAGGTACCTGGCAGAGCGACAGCGATCGGACTCTGCCACCTTGAAATCTTTTTTGGCATCTGAAGGTCAGCGAGTGTGCTTGCTTTTCTAACCACTTGTCAGAGTCGACCGAGGCCGTGTGTGACAGGTGAGAGCTGATTTCATTTTGATGGAGGTGATTTAACTGTGTTGTGGTTGGCTGTTCTAACTGTAGCAAAGAGAAGAGGGTTTTCACACACCGTCCAAATGAACCTCTTTAATCAACCGCCGCTAAAACACAGATGTGTGTGTTTGGTGGGTGAGTGTGCGAGAGGTGGGGGGGGGGGTTATTATAACTGCCAAAACTCACACATTTCCCTCGAACCAGGACCTTATTTCTGAGATCAGACATGAAGCACATGACCTAAAGTTTGTGCATGTTTGGAAAAACATATTTTTTACCTGCCAGAGCATCCTGAGCCTCAAAGAACGTGCTGAGGCCTCCTTTTACAGATGCCATACTCCCCTCATTTTTCTTAGAAGCGTGCTTCTTCAGATTATTGGCTGCAACCTTTAGCTGCTCAAAACTGCAAGAAAGACATCAACAAAAGAACTTTAAATCAACAAATGACCAATAACCTACCGAATATGAACAGAAAAAAAAAAACATAAAACAACTTAAATTAGATTGTTGTTTATTTATGTTTGCATGTCTTTCACACATTGTCTGGCCAAATAGTTTGAGCGACGGTGACTACGTGTGTCTCTGTGTCAGTCTCTTGAGTGAGGTTTCCTCTGCAGGAAGAAACAGTCATCCATTGAGGTCCAAACAGAGGCCCCTGGCCATGCTGGATCCTCGGGGTCTGGGTTACTGGAAGGCTAAGCAGGGGGGGGGGGAGAGGAAGCCAGGAGAGTCCAAAATAACTCTCCTCTGCCCCGACAATCTGTAGGGTCAACAGTCTACCTTGTCTACACAGCGCTCTGATCTCGGAACAACCAGCTGACAATGTTGGGATGAACTTTAAGGAATTTGTAAAACACAATGTAAAAAAGGTTTTTGTTGTCTACAACAGTGGTTCCCAACCTTTTTTGACTTGTGTAACACTTTGAGAGTTTTTTCCTACCAAGAGCACCCCTCTCAGTCAAAAGTATTGATGATTCTCCAAAAGTGGAATCTACAATAACTAATTATATATAAGATGTATTTTATTTACTCTTTTTAACTTAAACATTTAATTCTTTGGCATGTTATTCTTTCTAACTCCAATTAAAAACAACATAAATATGTTGCCCAGAAGCTAGTAAGGAATCAAAGTAAATGCTAAATAAAATCATACTATAAATCTGCCTTTATAAAACGAAAGTTACGTATGTAACTACGGTTCTATGAATCCCGGATGACCGCCAGAGGGCGGTGCTGAAAGCACTGAATGTTCCCTTCGGGCATGCGCAGTTCGAGTAATTATACCAACAGAGTCACACCTGTGACACCGGATGACCACTCAGAAGCTATATAGCCTGGTGTCATCCTTTGCTCTGCTCCTACAGAATCTTCTCGCAAAAGCAAGGATTCTGAGTGACAGAGAAGCTCTGGCGGTCATCCGGGATTCATAGAACCGTAGTTACATACGTAACTTTCGTTCTATTTCATCCCTACTGACCGCCAGAGGGCGGTGCTGAAAGCACTGAATGACTAATGCCAACGATGTCACAAGGAATCCTGAGCACATACCTCACAGAGGAGGCCCAGCAGAACCTTGTAAAAGGACCTGACCCAGGGGATGAGGGGCAGCCACATTGACACTGTAGAACCTGGTGAAGGTGGTTGGGGAAGCCCATGAAGCAGCAGCACATATAGCTTCCAGCGGAACACCTCTCAAAGCAGCCCAGGAAGCGGTGACGCTCCTGGTGGAATGTGCTCTCACACCGACTGGCAGGGAGCAGTGACCTGCAGCGTAGGCGTGGCAGATGACACTCACAATCCAATGGGACAGACGCTGTTTAGAAAGAGGACAGCCTAACCTTGGACCCCCATAGCATAGGAAAAGCTGGTCCGAGCGTCTCAGATTGGCGGTGGCTGCAATGTATGCCTCCAACGCTCTTACTGGGCACAACAACTCCGACTCATTCTCAGTTGTACCAGATTGAGGCTGAAACCGAGCGAGCCGCAATGGCTGGTTACGGTGAAAAGGAGACAACACCTTAGGCACAAACGCAGTATTAGGCCACAGGGTAACACCAGAGCCATCTGGATTCCACCTGATACACCTAGGGCTGACAGAAAGAGCATGTAGCTCGCTGACCCTCTTAGCTGAGACAATAGCCATCAGGAAAGCAGCCTTGCAGGAAAGCCACTTGAGTTCTGCTTGTGCCAAAGGCTCGAATGGAGGGTGGCACAGAGCTGTGAGAACCAATGGCAGATCCCAATCTGGGGCTCGTGGGGCTGGCCGCTGGCACAACCTACGAGCACCACGCAGAAAAAGTGAAACCAGTTCATGGCGCCCCACTGTACGGTTGTCAACAGTTCGGTGAAGACATGAAATTGCTGCAACATACACTTTAAGGGTCGAAGGAGAGCGGCCCTTATCAAGGAGAGACTGGAGGAACTCCAAAATAGTGGGCACCGAGCAGGAAAGCGGGTTCTCATTGTGGGCAGAGCACCACTGAGAAAAGAGGCGCCATCTGTTCGCATACTGCAGCCGAGTGGAGGAAGCCCTAGCACTCAATACGGTGTGTCTCACGGTGTCTGAACACCCAGTCAGCCTCCCAGGGGCCATGCCCACAGCTGGAGACGTTGAGGGTTGGGGTGCCATATCTGTCCCCCCAACTGAGACAGCAGATCCCTCCTTGCTGGAAGACGCCATGGAGTACCGTGACACAGACTCCAAAGCAGCGGGAACCACGGCCGCGCTGGCCAGAACGGAGCTACCAGCAACACTCTGTGGCCCTGCTCGAGAACCCTCCGTAGAGTCGGCCAAACCAGTGAGAGGGGTGGAAAGGCATACAGGAGAACCTGCGGCCATGGATGAGCCAGTGCATCCTGGCCCAGTGCGCCCGCCTTCCCGGTTAGGGAATACCATAGGGGGCAATGGGTCGACTCCTCTGTGGCGAACAGATCTACCTCTGCCTGCCCAAAGAGGTTCCAGATTATGCGCACTACGTCGGGGTGAAGAGACCACTCTCCCGGAGCAGGTGCCTGGCGGGATAGAGAGTCCGCAACCTGGTTCTGCCGTCCTGGCAGATACGCTGCGCGCAGGGTACACAGACGGGGATACGCCCATTCCAGGAGATCCCTCGACACCTTCAAGAGACGTGCTGACCTGGTGCCACCTTGGTGGTTTATATGATAAACAACAGAGGTGTTGTCTGTCCGAATCAGCACGTTCCTTCCCTCTAGGTGGGGCAGAAGGCACCTGAGGGCCATGTGCACAGCCCGCAGCTCCAGCACATTTATGTGTTCGGTGCGCTCCTTTGGGTCCCAGAGACCCCGAACAGCTCTGTGTTGCCACACGGCACCCCAGCCCATGAGGCTGGCATCCGTGGTGACCACCTCCCTTCGACACACTACTAGCCCCATTGGAACACCACTGGACAAAAGGGTCCCGTCTCGCCAAGGAGCTAGGGCATGGAGGCAGCTCCTGGTCACCATTAGCCTGCGATGCCTGTGCAGCCTGGCGTCTAGGCGAAAGCTGTTGAGCCATCGCTGCAAAGGACGCAGAAGGAGCAGCCCTAAGGGCACGACACGAGTGACTGATGTCAGTTTGCCCAGCATTCGCAGGAAGGTGATGTAGGGAAACTCCCTGCCCAGTCTGAATCGACGGACAAGCTGGAGTATGTCGTCCACCCTGTGAACAGATGGACGGGCCATCATGGTAGCAGAGTCCAGATGCATCCCAAGAAAGGTGGTTGTCTGAGATGGAACCAGACAACTCTTTGCCAAGTTGACTTTGAGGCCTAACATTGACACATGAAGTAGAAGCTGGGACGTATCCCGAGAGGCAGCTACCTGAGAGGGAGCACAAAGAAGCCAATCGTCCAGGTATGGCAGAATCCTGACTCCGGAGGCCTGTAGAGGAGAGAGGGCTGCTTTCACGCATCGAGTAAACACCCTCGGGGAAAGGGAGAGCCCGAATGGGAGCACCCGGAATTGCCAATGGCGCCCCCGATAGGCGAACCTGAGAAAACGGCGATGTTCTGCCGCAATAGGCACGTGAAAGTAGGCGTCTGTCAGATCTACTGATGTAAACCAATCTCCCGCCACAATGGTCTGAAGGACCTCTGTTATGGTGAGCATGTGGAAGGGAAGGACCTTCAGGTACCGATTCAGTCCCCTTAGATCTAAAATGGGGCGAAAACCGCCGGTCTTCTTGGCCACAAGGAAGTATGTGGAGTAGTAGCCTCTGGGTTGCTGCAGAGGATCTACAGACTCGATTGCCCCCTTGCCAAGGAGGGCGGAAAGCTCCTGGTCTAGTGCCTGAGATTTCACCGGGTCTGTGATGACAGTCACCTTGACCCGGTGTGAGAGGGGGGGCCGCCGTCGGAACTGGAGCCTGTAGCCATTGGTTAAGGTGGCAACCACCCATGGATCTACGGCATGAGCAGCCCAGAAATTCAGCTGCTGATGGGAAAAATGTCCGACGGCTGGCCCGGTGGCATCATCTTCTATCCCCACGGCCCCTGGGGGCTCTGGGGGGAGGGCGTCCAGGATTTGAGGCCCGGGTCTGTCTAACAGGGCGGCAGACTGGCTCACGAAAGTCCCTTCTCGGTCTCTGCCGCACATCATGGGGATAGGAACCAACAGGTCTGCCACCGGTCTGAGGTCGTGGCTGAACGCTGGGGGTAGTGGCAGGGCGGCCCGAACGCTGGGGAAAGGCAGGTATGCTCCTGCGAAGGCCGGAAAGCTGCTGGCTAGTCTGACGTGCCTGAGCAGTCCGTTCCAGCGCCTCCAAGGCAGCTGATCCAAACAGCTCCCCTGGTACAACCGGGACACCCCTGAGGGTCCTACGGCATGCTTCAGTCAGAGGAGACTGTGCCAACCAGACCTGTCTACGAGCTTGGACAAGGAAAGACATGACCCGTCCAAGCTCTCTGGTCATCAGCGCGAAGGCCTGCAGCGCTGCGTCACTATAACCATACGCCGCACTTGCACCACCAGTGTCCTGAACAGATGCAGACAGGGCAAACATGAGGTGCGCCAGGGAATTGCCAAGGCGGCCAGCACGCGCTCCTGCATTGTACGCCTTACAGAGGAGGTCATCTGTAACCCGACATTGAGTCCGCGGGCACCGGACATCAGGACGCAGGGCTTCATCTGGTGACACAATCAGTGAAGCAACAGCTGGTTCAATTGCTGGCATACGGTCCAGGCCGGCCTTCACTGACTCATGCATGGCAGCTAATACACGACCATCCGAGGAGAGACGCGACAGCGCTCTCGGTTCCCGCCAACAGGCGTGTAACTCCTTCAGGTACTCCTCTGATGGAGGTACAGAAAAAGGAGTAGGAGCCCTTCCACGTCTGAAAAAAGCACTGCCAGAGCTGGATGCCTCTCCTTGTGGGAGTTCCAGCTGCAGCTGCTTCAGGGCCATAGACATGACCTCCCGCATGGAACCGTCACCGGCCTCTCCAACCGCACTCTGAGATGAAAATGAACCAGCCTCAGAGGCTTGAGAGGACCCTGCCTCCTCCTCATCTCTAAAATGAGAAGCGGAGGCAGCCAGAGAGATAACGTCATCCTCTACAACCAGCTCGGGCATTGGTGGGGAAGAGAGCCCAACCACTGGGAGCGAGGGATCAGATTGCCGTGTCTGCAACAAGGACTTCATCTCTGCCAGCTCTGCTGACAACTGCTCCACCCTTGTGGACAGGCCCTGGTCAGGTTTGGCCCGCTTCCTCCGGGGGAGGGGCACAGATGCTGTGGTCCCACCACGGCGCTTAGAACGCTTGGGGGGAACCACCTGCCCAGAGGGCGGAAGGTCCGAGCCCTCCTGGGGGCACAACTGGGCCAACCGGGCCACCCTCACTGCATGGGGCATAAAGCTGCAGTTCATAAGGTGTCAAAAGGTGCTCATGTCCAAGGCAGGTAGGGCACAGGTCGTGGCCATCCTCTGCCTGCAGGGCAGCCCCACAATCTATGCAGCTGTGAGAGCCATCCATGTCGAAGGCCGACAAGGCTTAAAGAACAGAAAGTTATCGAAAATCGGGAGAGGGGGCGCAAACGCAGCCGTCACCAATTACAGCAGAGAAACGAAAGAGGCTGCGAGCACAAGGCAGCCGATACTGGGAGAGGGGGCGAGAACCGCTACCGTCACCAGGTATAAAACCAATAAACCAAAAAAGCTAACAACGTTAGCTGTATGGAAACTTAAGTTGGAAGTAGGAGCGAACAACGCTGCCGTCACCAATTATAGCGGATAAAACAAGAGAGGCTGCGGACACAAGGCGGCCGATACCGGGAGAGGGGGCGAGAACCGCTACCGTCACCAGGTATAAAAGCAATAAACAAAAAAAGCTAACAACGTTAGCTGTATGGCAACTTAAGTAGGGAGTAGGAGCGATAAACGCTGCCGTCACCAATTAAGAGAGCAGACCAACGAAAAGGCTGCAAAAAAAGGTTGATATTGGGAGAGGGGGCGAAAACGCTGCCGTCACCATTTATAATTAAGCAGACCGATGAAGAAGGCTGCAAACAAACCAAAAAAGGCTAACAACGTTAGCCGTCTCCAACTTCGGCAACGAAGTAGACCACACTTGGTTGGGAGAGGGGGCGAAAACCGCGGCCGTCAGTAATTATAGCAGCGCAGACCGGTGAAAAAAAGGATGCAAAAGTAGGGAATATACTGGGAGAGGGGGCGAAAACCGCTGCCGTCACCAGGTATAACACCAACAAACTAAAGAAGCTACGTTAGCCGTATATAACTTCGGCAGTGAAGTTATTCACACTGGGAGTAGGGGCGAAAACGCTGCCGTCACCAGTTCGGAACAAAACAGCACGAAGCTGTAGGTAAAAAGCTAAAGTCGTGAGCCGGGAGAGGGGGCGCGGACGCTACCATCACCAGCAAACAACTCACTTACCTTCCGTAATCTTCAGAATCGACCCGTTGCAGCCCTAGGAGGGCGGAGAATAACCGCAACTCCGGTCAAGAGACAGGGGCTTCAGACAACGGGGAAGTTAGCGAACCGCTTGCGAGAAGAAAAAAGGAGCAGAGCAAAGGATGACACCAGGCTATATAGCTTCTGAGTGGTCATCCGGTGTCACAGGTGTGACTCTGTTGGTATAATTACTCGAACTGCGCATGCCCGAAGGGAACATTCAGTGCTTTCAGCACCGCCCTCTGGCGGTCAGTAGGGATGAAATAGAACAGGAGCTCCCCTGTAATCACATATAAACTTGAGGAATTGGAAACTTATACTATAAATTTATGGTCAGATTGACTCCATTTTTTTTTTTTTTTTTTTTACTTTGTTTCGTTTTACTTTGTTTTCACCAGTCATGACACCTTAGCTTGCTCCGATCAGAGTTGTAAAAACAGCTGATCTCAGGCTGTTCTCTACATCCAGTCTGTTCCTCTGCTTGGTTTTGAATCAAAGCTGAAGGGGAACTCACACATATAAGAATAACTTACTTTTTGGTTGAAAAAAGCTTATTTTATTTTTTAAGTTGGGTCCTCAAAATAGAACAGATTCCAGCCCTTTTTTTTTTTTTTTTTTTTACTTGAGAAATAAAATATTTTTATGTACCCCTCGCATTTCACACACAGACCACTAGGGGTAAGAGTATCCCCTGTTGGGAATCACTGGTCTACATTCAAATTCCTCACATGATTGCTTTACCCTTCAGTGCGTGTTTACATAGGAATTATTCCCAGCGGTATACCATATGGATTCTTCATTTTGAAATCAAAAATCAGAAAATTGTTAAGAAATAAAATTGTGAATTGTGCATCAGAACCAAAATACAGAGGGCCTTTTCAATAAGATTTAGAGCGAAGCAGTAAATTAACGAGATCAAACAAGATCAATCGGATAATATATTCTTACTTTAAAAAAACTATTTTATAACACTGCATTAAATCCTATTAAATCAATTTAATTATCTCAGCAGTTACATTTTCTGACTGGATTCAGAATGAACCATTAAGATAAGAAATTTCATTTTTTTTATTTATTCCAATTCATTCACTTTTGTATTATTTTTGTCTTTCTTTCAATTCATAAATACCTCTAAAAGAACTTTGGTTTTTAAAGCTCTTCATAAATAAATTATAAAACATTATTTAAGTTAGCTGTACTTAGTTGGTTTGGATTCATAGTTAAAATAAGATTTAATAGGATACCAAACAAAAATAAAAAAGCTTCTTAAGAAACACAATTACTTTCATTTACTATGAGGAAATTATTCAATACTACTATGAATAAATAGGAAAGTCTGTACAAACATTGTATTTAGAAATGGTTTGTATATAAAGCTGACAAGTCAAACCAACTAACAGGAAAGATATGCAATGTGGAGGGGGGAACGGTGGAGCATCATGCTGCCCACTTATGTCCAAAATGTACTTCTTCATTTACCTCAAAATGTGGATGCAGTAGTTTGAGGAATCTTTTGTAAAATAATCAGTAATTTTATCGACAGTGCAGTAATATAACGTTTTTATTAATTATAACTTAAGCTGTGTATAGAAACAACATCCTAGAGTAAAAAGTGGGAAAGGTTTCATATTTTTCTTTTACTACAATGTCTTGTATTTTTATTAGTTATGGCCTTTTGTACTTAGATTTTTTTTTACTATTTCCCCTGTGTAACCAATACAAGGTATAACTTAGTTTTTACTTCTGTGTAATTAAAAAAAGACACCAAGTAAACTTCATATTTTAAGCGGATGATGAGTCATTCTATTTGTGATGGCTGCTTTAACAGACACAGCAATGAACCTACCTGGAGCCTGAATGATTCTCAATCAGGTACCACGAGGCAGAGAAGTTCTCACTGGTGAAGTCTCCACTCATTCCTGGAAATATCTGCTCCAGGTCTTTCTGTGCAGCTTTGCCCCTGCAAGGAAATATATTAAGGCAATAAATGCAATATAAAATTGCGTGAAATAAATAAAACAAGTGAACTGCAAATCCATTCATTGTAAAGTTAGAGGATCATCTTTATAATGTGAGTTGATTTTCCAGCAGGGGGCAGCGTGTAGCCAGGAAGCATGAGGCTGGGAGAGCCTGGCGTGGGAAGTGCAGTGTGTGACGCCTGGATGCCCCTGGAGGACCCAGTACTCATTAGGGAAGCTTGATCTCTACTAATGACCTGTGGGCTACACAAACCAACATCCCCAGCATCACCACCCACCCAGCAGTTGCACACACATATCTAAAGAGGGAAACGTCTCACATTAGAGTTTAGCATTTAATTATGTGAAGAGGAAAACCATCTACAACCACGGTGGTGTTTGCGCACAAATGCATAAGAAACCAAAGGTTTCCTCCCGTGGATGAGAACACAAGGATTCCTGCTCTTCTCTTTTCAGTCTTTACAGCTGATTTTCAGTTCAATTAAGACTTTTAGATGTGCTTAAAAATAAAATAAAAGCAGAAAGAGGAGTTGGCTTTTTCACATATGATGCTGCTGATCAATAAACTGAAGTTATTGGTGTTTTTATATATCAGACTGGATAAAAATCCCATTAGACACTGTTTTTCATTGAAATTTACATTAAGAAAAAAACTCTTCAATAATAAAGCATCTCCAATAAACCTTAATTTAGACACCTGCAACGGTGTTTCTATATTTGGAATTAAAAACATAAGATTTCACATATTTTAAATGGGTTTTATTTTCCAGAAAGATTGACCTAATATACTGCAAAATTTTTTGCTACGTACATAACAGCACAACAGATGTCTGGTTGTGTCTGAAGTCCGAGCCAATTATTCTTGATTCTCCCTCTATGAAACTATACCACACAGAAATATATTTATGTAAACTTGGCTTAGACTTGATAGGTAAATATAACAACCGCTGACCATAAAAGTTGGTGCAGATTTTTTCAGACTGAGGCGATTCTGAATCAAACAGAAAAAGAACAGATGGCAAGAATATTCTCTTTTATGCAACAAAGCAAGTGTTTTTAACCCCAGAACAAGGCCCAGCAAAGAACATGGCATGTATTTAGAAAAATGAAAAACACAGATGTTTTTTTTTTTTTTGTGAGTTATTACATTTCTAAGCAATCAGATTCACTTACAAAATGACAGGATTAAGGGAAAAATGTCTAATTTTTTTAACCATTGCCCTCACCGATTGAAAAACCTTTCTTAAAAAAAACACAGAATATTCAATTACCAACTTTTACAAAAAGCAAGCTTAGAACTTTTTTATTTGGTTTAAATTTTGGCATTTAGCTGTTTTAAGTCATTCAATCTAGCGCATTAATATATAACATTAAATATACCTGTGGTTTACTTCCAATTTTATTTAGATATGATAGGAGTAAAAAAAAAATTTGTACCAATAAAAGTTTTAAATTTGTGTTTAAGGGCATAAGTAATTATAGTTCACTTATTCATATATGTATTTTATCTTTTGTATCCTTATCTCAATTATCAATAATATCTACATGTTAACAAGATGATCATCTCTTCTTATTTTTCTGATAACCATAATCAATAAGAATGAATCTTTTGAATTATTTAAACTTAATTGTATTTAAGGGGTTGATTAAATCTTAAAATCAATTCAAATTAAATGTTTACATGAACAGGTTTAATTTTTGCGTTAAGTATTTCTGCCAGAGATGGCAGGGTTTTAAAGAAACCCTTCACAAGTGGAAGGTATAACTGACCTTTCTGTTTTTAAGCTGTTAAATACTTAGAGCACTAAACACAGTTGAAAGCCCTAAAAGTGAGATCACTGCAGAAAAATGTACACAACCTCACAGACTCTTCTAAATGCCTCTGTGTTAGATATCAACTCCTACAGAGATAGCTTTAATCTGACAGTGAAAGGGAAACATGGAAACGCGCTGCGGTGAATGTTTAATGTATCTCTGGGAGCCAGTCAATGCAACAGCCTGTTTATGGGGGTCTTGTCTCTGGCCACGAGCGGTCACTTGCCCTCAGCCCCTCTAAGCCAAACAAATACTAAGCCAGAAATGTCAGAACTTGACAAGACAAGCTATACGTTACAAGCTCTGCCCTCCCTGCCCGACGCGTGGAAGCCTTCATTTCGCTGCCTGCTCTGTTCATGGGAGGTTTGCTCCCACAGTCTTTTTTCCAAATGTCTCTTTATCGCTTTTCTACTTTATACACAATTACATTGTTTCCACTCCCTGTGTGGAGCAGTCCAGCCACTTCTATGCTGGCTTAAGATTTCAAATGTTGGCATATGGGGAGAGTTTGGGTCTGTTTAGAGATCTGAACCATGACTCAGTGACTGGAGAGCAGTGGTGTTTATGGCGGTGAGATGGCATGTGAGTGTTTCTGCATGTTGTCCATTCGTACTTGTCCATCTCGATGCCCAGCGGGTTGCTGGGACGCAGAGAGAAGGGGGAGATTCCTTTGTTGCGGTTTGTCCTCATGTCGTAGTTCACCTCATCCACCCACACGGCAGACTGTTCCAGGATACCTGCATGACAGGCGGGACGTAGTCACAACACTTCCCAGATGCATTTGCACATGAACAGACATATTTACTCTTCGTACGCATGTTAAATGTGTGACACTGTACGGATATATCTCCGTTGTGCGTAGGAGCACCTTTGAGAACTCTAAAATTACAGCTCCTACCACAAGGGGATGAGTAACGATTGAGGAATATTTGTGTTGGACGATCCAGTCCCAGGCCAGATTTAGATTTAATCAAAAATTTGAGGCATATAGATTTTAATCATTTTTGGAATTTATATAAAAAATGCAAAGGCTTGTGTTGTTTCAGAGGGTTAACAGCTTTCCAACTTCTTGCTCATCAAAATAATTTAGACAGTTGCCTAAAAATAAGAGACTTATTATAAAGGATATACAGAACCTCAATAACTGCACCACCTCCTACAGCTTACAACCTACAGATTGATTGATTGAATGATTGCTTGAGTGATTGATTGATTCCTTCCTTCGTTCCTTCCTTCGTTCCTTCGTTCCTTCCTTCCTTCCTCAAAATAATTTAGACAGTTGCCTAAAATTAACAAACTGATGATTAAGGATGTAGAGAACCTCAATAACTGCACCACCTCCTACAGCTTACTACCTACAGATTCCTTCCTTCCTTCCTTCCCTCTCTTCCTCCCTCCCTCCTTCCAAGTCTTACCGATCCTCTCTGGCCTTAGGAGTTTGAAGGAGACCGTGGAGGTGCCAGGGCCTCCAGACTTGGTGGTGACGATGATTTGTCCCTTGTCATCTTTAGCAGGGCCAACGCGGCACACTATCTTGCTGGCTGACATCCACTCCGCCGTCAGCATGCAGTTATGGCCACAGATGGACAGACCTGGAAAAGGAGCATGGGAGAGGAGGGGGGGGGGAGCGAAAGGTGAAACGGGTGAGATATAGAGATACACACTGAGAGAATAAATAAATACATGTGGTGCGAGCACCAACAGAAACAGGGACACGAACACTGGGCAGCATAGAGGAGCTTGTTCAGACCGCGCTGACGTCCATCAGCAAGTTTAGCCAAACCGTCAACAGGGGTCGAAGCTCAAGCTGGGGTCACCACTAGCATGGGTGGCCTTGATCTTCCTCCCTTTCACTCAACTGCTTAAACTTAATGTGAGTGACTCCTCAGTACTAAGTGGCTCATTACTGGCACAATGTGCACTCTGCCCCTACATCTGTCAACCTCTTTTTAGAACCTAGCAAAGCCTTCGTGAGGCAGGGATAACTTGGACGTTTCCAACAGAGGAGATCTGGAGCACTTTGCGTGTGTCATCAAACGTTACAAAAGCCTGCAAGAGGCGATCAACAAATAGCCCATAAAACCGTAAATAATATGCCCATTAGAGCCCCATTTCCTGCCTCTGTTCTCCACAGGCCACTTTGTTTGAATACATAAGCACTCACACACATTTGTGCATATCTAATTGTCTAAATCAAGGCTCCAGGGACGTGGACAGTCAGGAATAGACTGTTCGCGTTGTGCCAGCGAGCAGCGAGCTTGAAGGATAGCAATGTGTGGGTCCGCTGAAGCTGAACTGCCAAACACATTTTTACAGTTGCACTGTTGAGGAGAACTTTGGCAAGGATTAAGGAAAATTTTGGTGGAGACAAAGTGATGCTTAAATCATTCAATGAGAGAAAGATGTTTCAAGAGTTTTTGTTTGGCTCGTAAAAAAGCTTTTTACAGAGTTTTTTTCTTTAAACATACGTATATAAATACATACAGTGGCTGTGAGCATACAGGTCATAATCAACATAAGTAAATGAAGTTGTTTTTCCTGGGGGGAATGTTAAAAAAAACAACAACACACAAGTAATGATATTTAAACCAGAGAAAGTAAGTTTAATTTTACTGTTAATTTTCTCTAATCCAGACAGACATACAATTATCTAAATACACCACTTCTGTAGCCATCAACAAGCTTTTGATCTAATTCAGGTTGCACAGCTGACCTCTCTTCAGGGCAGATTTAAGGGCTCATTATGCGTGACGCACGGACATTCTGTGCGGAAAATGAGCCGCCCGTGACAGCATCTGCTGCATTTATAGTCTGTGCAGCCTCTCCTCACTCTGGTCCGCTCAGGGGGGGGGGGTGTGTTCAGCAGGAACATGAAGCTGACAATACCACTACACGAGGAAGTAGAGAACACAGCCATTTAGAACTTTATCGAAGCCTCTTCAGTCCCACAATCATTTCTCTCCTGGATTTTATCCACAATCTGTTGATAGTGTTGATATTTATGAGCTGAATCACAGGAAGTCTCGAGATGTTAACATTTGCTAACCCTCCCCAGCAGGAGCTGCTGCTCGCTTGCCATGGTTTCCGCGTGGATCTATCTGCGAAGAAACAAATTTTCCTAAGAGGGGGAAGTTGAAGCCCAAAATGAAATAATTTCGCCGTGCAGACCTCACCGACATGTCAATTACAAACCAAGCTTTAGTAGAAGGTTGCTTTGCTAAACCAGACTCCATACGTTTTCAAAAGACTAAGTTAAGTGCTTTGGGAAGATCATCCCAGGAGCATGCATCCAGCTGAAAGATTTTGTCCACGTTAATCTAATGTGAAATTAAGGAATTTCTTGTCAACTCTTTAATTTTTTCATCCACGAACCACATTTCCCTGTAAGTCACAGACACTACCACCACCAACCTTAGATACAAATCCTCATATCAACCCTTCTAGGTGTATTTCTGGTGTTGTGGCCAAACAGATGGTAATGGGATAGAAAAGCCCTGTTAGTTCCAATAGTGTTTCTAAAAATCTTGACAAACTTCCTCTGACATGAGGATGACACTGCATAACCTTTTGCAAACTACAAAAAGTAGCGACATATTAAAACCCAATAAATTAGAGATGTTATTCTTAAGACTCTGCTGCTGTTAAAAATGGTTCAGATGGCTTTTCCAGTGAGGTCTACTCTACAGAAATGAAATTATCTTGCTGCATCAATCTACTTTAGTTCATCAGGGATTATATTTGAAAAGCTTTAAAAACACATATTTATCTAATTTAGGTGACATGTATGCATAATTTAGAATAGCAGAGTATAAAAACTTTATGATGCCCATGACCTCCACATTTAAAATCAGTCAATCCTAAGTCTTTATTGTCATCATGTAGCCATAATGACAATATCTAAGAGAGAGATACTGGCTCAAAATGGTCATATAATACACTGACATAAAGACAAAACCCTGAAAGAAAAAGACGAAGGAAAGAATGTGGCATGCAGTATTTAAAGGATAGTTTCTGCTAAAGTGTTAATAGAAATGGGCTGGAGGTTTTAAATTTTCAGCAGGGGTTTCTGTGTCTACCTGCAGGGGGACGATTGTCTTCACAGCTTGCGGAAAGAAACTGATTGTAAAAAAGATATATAAACATTTTTCATTAAAGATAAAAAAAAACAACTTTCTCATCTGTCAATATGAAAGTAGAAAAGTTTTAGTTTCACCTGGTTTAAAGCTGTAAAAAAAAAATCTTCATTAAAGAACCTTTAGCTATGCGATTATTAATTACTTAATCGAAAAAAATAATCAAGAGATTAATCAATGTGCAAAATAATAATTTGTTGCAGCCCTAATCCTAAATCCCTTTCCTCATGGAAGTGCGACAAACAGCATCTGTTGTGGGGTTATAAATCTGGCATTTTTCATGTGAAGCAAAAACTGAGCCCAGAACAGTAGATGATATCCCACAATCCTCTGCACATCCACAAACATGCTGTCCTTGCTCTGCTGTGCACAAGGTACCGTACCTTTAGTTGTGGCCATGACTAGCATGAGTCATTAAGTATTTAGAAACAAATATATATAAATAAATAAAATGTTGAACCATGATAGAAAGTATAGCTCGATGGGCAACAGGATGCTGGACTGGTTTTAATTGGCCTTACCAACAAGATCTGCTGGGCCTGTGCCGAGGTTTTCTCCACGAATGGTCACTTTGGTCCATGCTGGTCCCTCCTTGGGCGAGATGCCCGTGACCAGTGGTGGTGGCCGTGCTTTTGACATGTCGACCAAAGGTGTAGTGAAGCTTTAGATCAATCAGGACCTGAAAAGGGCAAATGAAGGGTGGTCAGAAATCAGCCTCCAGACAAAACATCAGAACTGTTTGTTTTTTTTTGCATAAATCGGTTCCATGCCAGCATTAGATTAACAAATGTATACTCAAGCTTTATTTTAGAAATCAAACTGGGAGGGGTCAAATGATCCTTTCTCTGTGTCAATTTTTTTTGTTTGCCAGTAGAAATTGAGACAAAGCAAAGAAAGATCCTCTGCTGATTGTCCTGCATCTAAAATGGACCCTGATTTATTTAAAACTCCTATTTAATTTTTGAGTCAAGACACAAAAAAGCTCAGCTTTTTAAAATCTTACCAATCTTTTAAAAATTTCTACTCTGTAACAGTAAATGAAAAAGGAAATTAACCCAAACATGATGACACAAATTTAAGAAAAAATTTAGATTTAAACATAAAACCAGAGTAAATTATTTAAATTGATCAGAAAATACATTTTTTAATCTGGAAAAAACAAGGTATTACTAAGGTATAACTCCAATAATTTTCTATTCTATTTTTTTTTTATATCTTCCATACAGTATAAAAACTTTGAATATAATATCATAAGGCTAATGCTGTTGATAACAACTAATACGTCAAACTGTTATTTTTTTTTTTTAACAAGCACCTTAACTGAACACCGAGGCCATGTATTTAGACAGTTTGACCAAAATATGATCAGAATTTGGCTCAGAGTTCATTTCTGTCTAAAAACAATGTATGCATTGCAAAAGTTATCTCTCAGATATTAGCGAACACAGAGAAAGGGGCCAAGAATGAAGTAGACAGAGAGCAGAGAGGATCGGAGGAATGTAAACCTCACAGCGCAGAATAAATAAACCCGGTCTGCCCAATCATTCCTCCTAAGCCCACACAATACTGTACAGATTCTGGTACCAAAGAAGGAGCAACCATGGAAATCAGTTTAAGTCGGGAGAGAGAGAGAAACGGTTTCAAATGATGCAAAAATATGAAGGGAAGCATTTCAATTCGAGCAGATGTTTGCTAATAAATGATGGCCACTCCTCGGAGCAACCTCGGCTTCATGAAATACCTCCAGCTAAGCTTGCTCTGCGGCCAAAATGTGTTTTACTCAAACAATGCAGAAGTTCACAGGGACCGACCCTTTATCTAGTCCATGGTGGTAACCCTCTGCACAGGACAAATGATGAGGAAATAAGTAAGAACATCAGAAGTGATGAATAATAAAACAATTAGGGCTGGGCTTAAAACTTTAATCTTAGATTTCAAGTTTTAAATCCTGTAAAAGTTTTGATTCCAACCAAATTTTATGAATCAATCATTTTTACCCTTAAGTTTCAAAATAGGAATTCCGCTTTATTTCATTTATCTCCTTTTGAAGGTGACCTTGATTTAAAGGTCAACAACATTCAAGCTGTGAAAATGCTAATAAAACAATGTTTGACAACAAACAATGAAAATGTTTACAGCTAGTGGTGTTACACAGTTACCGTAGATAGTTTATCGGTTATCAGAACACATCCAAGAATAAAAAGTGATGAGCTGATGTCATCTTCAACTACGGAAGCCCAAAAAAGTGCATTGGTAGGAAAAAGAAGCAATCCAGATTTGCCAAAAATTTAATATTCATCAACAGATTGAATCATTGATTTAATTAATTAATAGACAAGGTGTATTAAAACTCAAATAAACTTAATGTGTGACATTTAAAAAAGGAGCAACAACAAAAAACCCAACTAACGTAAGAAAAAACAAAAACAAAACAAGGAGCAGTAAAACTTTCACTCTGAGGGATCTAATAATCTAAATCTTTAGATGGTAATTTCCCAATTTTAGACTCAGGATCAGCAGCAGCATCCCAGTAATGAAGCCAAAAGCGAGGACCAAACTGTAAAAAGTAATGTTTGTAAAATAACTCATAATTCTCTCATCATGTCTAAAGAGTAACTATTTTTTTCTCTTGGGAAGGTGGTGGAGAGGTAATAGTTTTATAATTCATAACCATATCCTACAAACTCAATCTTTCATATTTAAGTAAAGCTTTTAAAGCCTTTTTACAATATTCATATTGTGATAAAACAGTTAAACTTAGACTAAACTGTGACAGGAAGTAGCCAATATCAAAATCAACCTGCTTTTCCTGGTGGCTGTTAGTGATGGAAGGTGTCTCGATGTTGGCTCCTTAGTGTTGCACAATATTCAGAATACGCAGTTATTTACATTATCAAGTTTTGCAATGAAAATATCAACAGTGATTTAGTGAAATATTTAAATAAAAGAGCTTAGAGGAAGCAAGAGTTGGAAAAAGCTCTTTGAAAAGAAACAGAGTGATGCCACAGCGGATACCAAGAAGGCTGTGTCACAGGAGTCACTGTGTTTTATCCTCTGAAAATATAGCCTCTATGATAGACACTTTTACTTTAGGAAATCAGAAAATTAAGGTATTTAGTGTTTTAAAATAATAAAACCAGCTTTCTAACAGCTCCTGTCTCAAACACACACCCTAATGTCCCCATAACCTCCCATGTTAAAGGTCAAGGTAGTAAAATTATGTTGATTCCTGTTAATACTACATTAAGAAAATTAGAAATATCTTATTAGATTGTACATGTCTAATAAAATTAATTTAGGAAATTGAGAAAAAGAAAAATCAAAATACTTAGAGGCATCCTTAGGAGGTTTAGTACAACCTACTTGAAGCTGTCATTCATCATAGCTGTTTACAAAGTGATGCTCTCTGTCTTATCTCACACAACCAACCTATGTTTATATAGACCATTTCCAAACATCTGTTTCAAGAAATTCTCCTAAATGACTTATTACCCACAAAAGTAAAACTATATTTTCAAACCTGATAACATTTAAATATATTCACACATATTTTAGATGTAAAAAAAAAAATAAATTAGAGAAATTTAATATTTACTTTAAATGAAATTAAAACAGGGAGTTGAAAACATTGGTTTATAGTTGGGTCAGAGGAGATAAAACAAAAAACAAAATCATGAGTTGCAAGGTAGGATTTTAACGACACTTTTAACTTAAAATGACTTTAAAAGACCAGTGTGTGAAAAAAAACACAGATGGATTAATGTAAGCAGTACTACAGCGACCGAAAAAACATCACGGTGCAGGAGAGAACCGGTTCTGAGACGGTTCCTTCCCGGCCAGGCCAGGCCGCCCTCGCACCCCAAAGTTCAGGACAACACTCCAGCAGGATTTACCTTGCACTGTTGCTGCTGCCCTGCGCTTGTTAGAGGAAATGGAGGGGCTCCGAATCTGACATGATGAAGATAAGAGGTCAGCAGGCCTAAAACAAGAGCCTGGTATATCCTTCATCAATCCCACATGTTTGGACTGGGAGCGGCGTGGGGGGGAGATCACAGCCCCTTTTTTTTTTGTATAATAATTCAGATTCTACTTCCAGGAGTGTTTCTGTCCTATATAACACACGTGAACAAACACACCACAGCCTTCCCTGCCTGTCCACACAGAAACACACAGACGTTAGGCAAAATGACAGCTCAACGAGGTTTGCGTGCGAGGGGCCCAGGCTGGTGTTGTGTGGTCTGTGCGTATGCGAGCATAAGGAAGGATCTGCAGAGAGTTCTGGGCAGTGCTTGTGTGTGTGCATGCGTGTGTATGCGTGTGTGTGTGGTCTGGGTGTGTGGTCTTCGGCGCGGGCCTGGGGAGAGCCTGCTGACGGCTGGGATGAGAAAAGAGCCGCTTTGTTTACTTTACTCAGGGGGCTGTTCATGGACACGGGAACACTGCCCAGACCCTTCTCTATAACATCCAGCACGCACACACACACACGTGTGTAACAGCATGCACGCTCGCATGATGAAGCGAGTCGCAGAGAAAGTAACGGGACTCCTGCACAAGCCTCATGTCATGCATCACCACAAATACCCCGCTAACAAGGTAATAGAAATTGTAACTTTATTCAAACGGACGCTGGACAGAAAAACTTGCTCTTTTTTTTCTCCTTCTTCTTTAAGGAGCATGAAAAGCAAAAGAATCACCAACTGGAAACATGTAAAGAAACGTTTAAAATGGCAGGCCTCTAGGGGGCATTAGAAGATGATAAACCATTTTGTTCTAACATGCATCGCTCTATCTTTTTTTGTGGGCTATATTTAATCTCCAGACACTAAAGGACCATTTTTAGCTTTCTTACTTACAGAATTCCCTAAAAGTCACAAGGATGCGGCACTGCGACTTTTTCCTCTTTACTTTCCATGGATGCTGACCAGGGTGGCCTTTAATTATTTAGCAGCTCTGATTTATGTAAAACAATTGCTGTTTTTAAATGTAAATGATTAATATTGCTGAGTACAAATCATGAATTATAATTCTAGAGAAATTCTTTTTTTAATATTTCTGACCATTTCTTTTTATTATTTCAAAAAGCAAAAAAAGAGTAGATATTTTTCCACATAAACATAAACATAAAATGTCATAAAACAATTAACTGCATTATAATAGCAAAATATTTATAATTTTTTCCAATTTATTTTTGTTTAAGTGTCCCAATTCAATACCAAATGAAGCTAATCTACAATTGGTTTAACTAATGATGATGGATAAACTCCTCTACATGTTGCTTTAAAAGAAAATTATGGTTTTATTGAATTTCCTTAATAAAAAGGATTCAAAGCTTCTGTTGTTTTTCATTGTAAAATTAATATCATCATCATTACATCATGCTTTCAAAAATATGAGAAAAATTCTTCCTCATTTGAAATATGTATATAAAAATGATATAGAGGTTCTTAATTTTTTTTTTCCTTTTATAATCAATCTGTAAATAAAGGGTTTGGAGTTCAGTATCTTAAAGATGGTTTGATTTATTTGTTTATAACTGAATTTTTACAGGTTCTTCATAGTCTATCGTTGCACCAACAGATAAGACAGAGAGGCGTAGATTTTAGGGCTGGATAATATGGCCTTAAATTTTCATCGGTATA